ACAACAAAGGCATTGTCAAAATCAGTATCCATGGTAATGCGGTATCCCGCAGCAATCATCTCGCGCATAGCAAGTACATTGGCAATTCCGTCTTCATCATAATAGACTGGAGGCGGAAATCTTCCTAGAAACCCTTCTTCATCGAGAACTCTGCTGCCCATGTTAGTGTGCATATTGAGCTCTTTCTCAGCTTGTCGTAGTCCATGCATGAGTTCACCATTAACCACTGTCCATGATGACAAACCAAACGGATCTCTTTCAATTCTGCGGCTTTGAATAAACTGCATACCTCGATCTGCTTCAGTAGCAAGATCTGGCAAGTCTTCACTTTCACTAGCATAGTGCCAGTCGGATTGAACTTCGACATTAGTTGTTCCAGTAGGACATGGAATGAGATAGACATCATTGCCATTCTCATCCTTTCCCTTGATAGCATCGTGGAGGACATTTGACGTATCATACTAGCCAGTCTTCACGACCTGCGGAGTTCGAGCTGGAGTTGCATCAAATCCTTGGCGCACTTGAGCACCACTGAAGCCTTGTTGGCTGAGTTGCATTCCACTGAACGCAATTTCACCGTTAGCATTCATAGAGTAAGGGACAGTAACAGTGCCGCCACCTTGAGTTGTTATCTGCATGAGCTGCATTCCTGAAGGAACTTGCATCATTTGATTACCTGTAGTACCAGCAAGTCGCAAAGGTGTGTTAACACTTCCCGCAACACTCGATGTTCCACCAGTGATAACACTTGTCGCTGGAGGAGTTCCAGGAACTGTAGCTGGGACAGTTGCTCCAATCTGATTAAGATTGAGCTTCTTCCCGTAATCAACATAGTGTTTCAGATGCTTCCATTGAATCTCTGGTAGCAGTCTGTCTGGGCATTTTGGAGACATATGGTCCTCTTTGCCACATACATAACATGCTGCCTTTTTCTTATCGTCCTTCGGTTCACCTTTACCTTTACCTTTATTTGGCTGGTATTTTCCTTGGTAAAGGTTCACTCCCGGATTCTTGATCACATCCATGTGAATCTTCAACATATCTTGTGCTTTGCTGACCGTCTTTGGATAGTAATCCACTTCCATCCAGCATCAGAGGAGCTGTTCTTGTTTGATAACAGTTGCACAGAAATCCTGTTGCAAGAACGGCTTCAAAGATATCATCCTTGAACTTATCTTGAGCAGCAGTATCAGTGCTAGCAATAGCAGCATACGCTTTCGTCTTGACTGCAAAATTTCGGAACCAGGCAACGCCATATAGAGCTTGCAGGAGATCAGCCTGTCTCAAGAATCGTTCCTTGAAATGCATCAAGGTTTCGGTTGTTCCCTGCTTCATAGCAAAGAGCTTTTGATTGGCTTCCCAGAAATCCAAGAAGTCATACTCAGCATCAGCACTCTTCTTCATGAATCGTTCAATACGTTTCAAGAGTTCAATTGGATCTTCAAGAGTAGTCGTGAAATCGGCTTCACCTTGAAGCTTGATATCCATTGCCTTTGTCACAAACTTCAGCATGATGTTTGATTTGACGGTTCTCTTGTTTGTCTCAAAGTAGGCTGATCTTCGCATGTTCTCGTCGAGCTTTGCAGAATAAAGAATCTTGTTTTGGGCCATCTCTGTTTCTCTTGCAACAACTTCAGTTTGAGTTGGAGCGTCCAATCTTGGAGCGATCGCATTGAAGTCGATCGACTTCCCATCGCGAATCGATTTCACCATGTCTTCGGAGCACTTAATTCCAGAAGCTTGGATGTAGTCGATCACTCTTTCTTTGGCATCTTTGTTCGACAATCTTGCCTTTCCATTGTTTTCATCTTTCGTTGAAAACAGATGTTTCACAACTGTTGAACTTGTATTGCTCTTGAATTTCTGAGAAATCATACGTCCTCTTCCACCACCGGATGAAGAATGTCCCATCGTCAACGAATCACTCACTCCTTTGTAGATAGAACAGTGCTGTTCTTGAAGTATTTTTGTTTTGTTGCCTTTTGTGATTGAATGTTAGAATAAAGCAAAATGTGCTCTATCGTGAGTGCCTTTAGCGCTCAGAACAAACTCTCTGCAATCTAAAGTCGTAATCGACTGTACAACACTTTCACGACAATAGTTCTCCTGTGTTAGGTATACTTTGAGTGAAATTGTTCCTATTTGATTAATGTTTGGCTTGAATTGATGATTCAATCACAAAAGTGAGTTCAACAATTTTCCCTTGGAAAATCCCTTGTTTACAGAACTCGATTCAACTTCTACGAGGATTCTGTGTTGAATGCAGTACTTTGGGACATCTTGTATTATTCCCTACTGCATCATACACAACATCGATATTCCACTTCTATAGGGTCTTTCCCTTTTTGTGTGGATACAGATTGTCCGGCAGACTTGCGTCGAATCCTGACATCGCGATCAAAGTCCGATCGCATGTGTCAAAAACTTTGTACTTGAATAGTTTCTTTTGGAACGTAAAAACTCATATTTCGTCATATCCCAACAGAACCCCACAGGATGGATTTCCAAAAGATGTCCCTGGAGTTTTGAAATTTCTAGAAAATTGGAAGCCCAACTATGTCGCCCGTGATGGCGCAAGACAGACCTCAGCAAGAACAGGACTGAATAGGAATCCTTTGGTTTCTTTTGGCCACATAGACAGCTGGTGAAACGGATCAAGTTTTTTTGTTTTGGGGAACCAACGGCTCATTCTACGCCACCATTACCTGTTGCCTGTGCAAGCACAAGGGACACTACCAGCCAGAGCCATTGTCCCGCAGCCAAGGATGGGACAGGAGTAAAATTGGAAGCTACTGTCAGTGAGGTAAGCAACTACAGATGTGGTATTCTTATGAATCAGCATCCTGACACTTACATTAATTCAAACTGGATTCTCCTTGATAGCGAGTCCACCGATCATATTTTCAGTAACCTGACTTATTTGACTGGAGAAAAGGCAACTACTGATGGGGGAATATTGAGACTTCACACTTCCAGTGGAACTCTTGATACTACTCAGAAGGGTCATTTGGGGGGATTTACCGTGTGGTACAACCCGAGATGCTTGGCTAATTTTCTGCCTCTGGCTCTAGGTGCAGAACAATTTTGTGTGACACTGAGACTGAAAATGCTTTTAGAGTACACATTTTGGAGGGGCATGTAGTGAAATTCGAATGCATTGCTCCTGGTCTGTACGTCTATGATGCTACTTCAGTAGATATGTCTAAGCTTAATGTAGCTTTCAAGTTTTTAGAACTGTAGCAGACAACAAAGCATCTTTTGCAAAGAGGGATATTTGTAAGGCCAACGAGGCAGTATTGCTCATTTGGAGGACCAATCACATGGCAGAAGACAAATTCGTTCGCGTTGTCAAGGACAATTGGATTCAAAATTGTCCTGTCACAGTACAGTAGGAGATGTGCGGAGGTCCCATACAATCTATGGACCACCACTACCACCCGTTAAGGGACCGACTTGATACCAGTTGTCAGCAAGAGTCAGGGAAACTGATATTGTCCAGATCCCAAAGAGCATGTACAAAGATCTCAAAACCGTGACGCTTTGCATTGATTAATTATGTGAAGGGTGTCACTATTTTTTCATTCCATCTCTTGACAAATCGACTACCAAACTGTGTCTTTTCCAATCAGCAGATCCAAATGCTCCATTGTCAAAGAGCTCAAGGATATTTTCAAAGTCTACAATGCCCGCGGTTTCCAAATCACCAAGATCCATGCAGACAACAATTTTGGAAAGGTGGAGAAAGACGTATTGCCGGCCCAACTGGCCTGCTGTGAAGTGGACAACCACATCCCTATGCATGGGAGGACCATCAGCTCACTAGACAGACACACCTGTTGGAGCAATATACCACCGGATTTGCGTTTGCCCAAATGTCTGCCAAGCAGGGCATCAAGAAGTATGACAAAGAAGCCAAACTGAAGAAGCTAATTGCCAAGTTCGCTTGCTCAATTACTGGAATTCCAAGTTTTCCACGGAGTTAAAGCAGACGGACCTGACGGCATTTCATTGGAAAGGAAGAGAGCCGGAGACATGATCAATCTTATTGAGGATAACTATTCTAAAAGACTTGGTATCTACATGGAAAAAGGGTGGGGAGAATGGTAAGTGTTTTGCATCGGTGAAGAGAGCTGATTGTTGTGTTTTCCACCGCTCTTCTTCCCATTGGACTTGCACGTCACAACGGGCTAAAGGCAGTCTGTTGCCATAGAACTGACCCACAGAAGCGATCTTTCCTCAAAGCAAGAAGCTTGGACAAAAGAATCAAAAGAGGACACACCAATGGAAATCCAGTGCTAAGAGCTAGGAGCGTCTTCAACTGTAGAGTTCAGCAGGGAATCTACACCAAGGATGAGACAGCTTCTCCAACTGTGGATCAAGACTCACTTTTTATCACCCGCATCATCGACGCAATGGAGAGAAGGTTTAAGGCCACCAGCGGCGTCAGAGGAGCGTACTTAAATGCAAAGATGAAGGATCGAGTAATCATGTGCATTCTGGGACCCGAAGTTGATATTTTCTGTGGACTTGATCCCAGTCTCAAGGAATTTGTCACTGTTTTGAAGGGAACAAAAGTGCTGTACCCATTATATGGGTGCCTAAAAAGCTCAATTTTATGGTATGAACTTTACTTGGAACCTCTCATGGATATGGGTTTCAAGCTTAATCCATACAATCTGCACGTTGCCAACTGTGATATTGATGGAAAACAATGCACAATTTGCTGGTACATACGCAATAATAAGATTCGTCATGTGAAATTGGAAGTTGTACAGGATATCATTGGGAAGATCAAAGCCAAGTTTGGAAAGATGACAAACAAGTATGGCAAAGAGCATGAGTTTTTGGGAATGAAGATTACATACAAAGACGGCTGAGTTTAGATCAGCATGAAGAAACATATACAGAAAGCGATCGATATGTTCATGGATGAAATCAATAGGGAAGCAACTTTGCCTGCCAAAGCTTATCGATTCAACATGAGAGAAGCAGCAAAAGATTTGAAAGAAGAAAGAGCTGACAATTTTCACCAGTTGACAGTGTCACTGTTGTACGTCTCAAGACAATGCCATTTAGACATTCAAACGGCTATCAGATATTTGTGCACTAGAGTTGGGTGCCCGACAAAGATGATTGGATCGAACTTAAGAGAGTCTTGCAGTATTTGAAAGGTTTGATAGACTTAACAAGAATCATTGGTGGAGACAACATCAGAAGAATGCAAGCATGGGTGGATGTTTTGTATGGAATCCACAACCACTGCAAGAGTCACACTGGAGGATGCATCTCTATTTGTTGGGGCGTAATTTTGACCATGTGTAAGAAGCAGGGCCTTAATGTGAAGAGCTCAACTGAAGGAGAAGTTGTGGGTGTGAGCGATTTTTTGCCGAACATGATTTGGGTAAAAATGTTTTTGGAACAGCAAGGTTTTGAACTAGAAAAGAACTGTGCCAGGCCAGTCAGAGCGCTATGAAGATCCTTTTGAACGGTAAGAAGTCAGCCGGGAAAAAGTCCAAGCACATTGACAATTGTTTTTATTTTATTAAGTATCGATTGTTGTCCAAGGGAATCGATGTGGTGTAGACCGCAAAAATGTTGGCAGATTTTTTCACCAAGCCTTTGCAAGGTAGTTTGTTTTGAAAGTTTTGCAATTTGGTTTTGGGATACAAGCACATTGATACTCTACTAGAGGATGATGAGGAAGTCTCAGTCAAGGAGCGTGTTGGAAGCCGCACAGACGACTCCCCTGAGTCAGATAGTGACAAGTCTAAACCGTCATACATCAACCGTGAGAGTATGGAGAACCAGTCATGGGCAGATGTTGTTCGAAAGATGAACAATTGAATTACAGTAGTTTAAAACTGTGTAGAGAGTTTTGGGATGACCGAAAGCATGAGTTTGCTTTGGCCATTCGAAAACTCTTATCCCAACTAAAGCAAGTTTTATTAACGACTTTAAGGTTCATAGTATTAGGACTACGTTACGCCGAACAACTGAAGACTGATCGTCTCAGAGTATCGTAGGGTCTTTTATTATCTAACAGACTCCTTACCCAGAGTCCAACCTTGTATCCATATCAGCTTCTTTACAGGGATGGACGACTTTGGTTACCAGTAAACAAGAAATAATTGTCCTGTTGAATCTAAATGATACGGCTGGTCAACCAAACATGATGCTTGCCTGGAAGTCGGGTCTGCAGACGTTGTGTCCCGAAAGCATCATTGGAGACAAAGAACGAGACTACCTTTGCGAGAGCATCGCACCGGAATATCGTGTCTACTTTGATCTTTTGTCCGATGCTATCAATCTGAATATTAGAGAGAACGTGGGCAAAATGAAGGAAAACGAATTGCACGAAACTGGAGTTACTGGAGTTACCACAAGACCAGTGAATGCAATATTTGGTCGCTAGGTTTTTCGTATTACGTTTGAGTAGCAGCTCTTGTTGAATTTTAGTTCACACTAGAAACGAATTGGAACATTGAAGGGAGGAATAGGGCAATCGCTGAAGGCTTCGTTTTGAGTGGTGTGCTGCTCATATGGCAAAAAAAATCGCGTTTGTGCATGTAGTCACATTCAAAGTTCCACCCAGATGAGACGGCTCTCTCAATTCCGAGATTCTGTAGCATCGTTGCGCTTCTCCCTTTCCAATGATTCTTCTAGACAGAAATCGGCAGTGCCAAGTGTGCGCGGGGGTCCAAATTTCCGCCTCTCTGCAATATAAAACAGTACTTTGCCTACTGTGGTCGCTCCGACTTCTACGGATAAAGGTCAAATATGTAGGTAAAAAAAGCTCTGCACCTACTTATTGCTCCCGGCATGTGGAAACTTGTGATAAACTCACATCACAGTGATCCACACTTTTCTGAGCGAACTAAAGGAGCAAGGCAGCATGCAGCATTGATTCGTCTGTTAACATTGTTTGTACCCATATATCTATATAAACATGTTTTTCATTCGTGGAGCTTATCTCATTGTAGCAAGTTCAAAGTGGGGGTTATTTATCTTTCATCGTACTGCAACCCTCATCGCGTGTGCGGTGTCTTGGAATTCTACCGCATCCAACAGTCAAATACGCCGTCCAAAAACGCAACAAGAGCCACCACCTCGTTTCTCCTTCTTTTACGCGTTAATAAAATTGTTTCCACAAAATTGGGTTTCATTCTTGCTGTTGCCATTGTTACTGAAGAAACATGTACGGTTCCAACCACATTGGTCATGAGGTTACTCCAGTCGCTTCTTTATCAGCAACGGAAGGCTCTAAGGTAGACAAGTTCGATCGTTTGCTACAGTGCAAACTAGCTGCTGGCGCCGATGATTCCCTTCAAGCTCACCTTGGGAATGCAAATACTTATCCTAGAATTCGTTCTGCTCTGTTGAGTACAACTTCACCAGGTGTCCTCATACCCCAGCATCTATTTACACTGGATGAAAATGACCTCCGATTTTCGTTACCGCGTCTAGGCTTTGTACCTCGAGTACTTCTTGGTCCGGTCCCAATCACACCAACTGATGTTACACGACCAGCCGCGGCTAGAAGCTTACAAGCCCTTCGCGACTACTGTTGGGCAAGGCGACTCTGTTCGGCCCAAATGATCCATGATCATGGGAAACCTTCCAGCAAGAGTCCACCTGCTCCGAAGGAAAAACCAGTGAAGGTCAATCAGTATGTTCCCACAGAGTCTCCTCTACCGGCTACTATGTACTCAGATTGCGATGAGAACATGCTCTCAGAATACCAATGTCTGGTGCGTCAGCAGCTGGAATTCTTTGAATCGTAAGTTCACTTCTATGTTCTTGCTAGCTCTAACCAATGAGCCCGCTTTACCAACTGTTTACTCCTTTCTCTTCTTTCAGGTCAAAGCAAGATATTCGATGGAGTAAACAAGGACGAAACAATAACCTTGTTCCTGGACAAGTTGGTATCCGTTGCAAGTGGTGCTCGCATCTACCTACGCAGTGTCGTTCTCCTGGAGCTGTTTACTACTCTGCCACGTTGAACGGACTATATCAAGCCGCTCAGAATATGGTCAAGAATCACCTCTGCAAAGAAGAATGTCGCCACGTTCCACCAGACATTGAACATCGCCTGATTCGACTACGAGGTAGTAGGCGACGCGGCCCTGGGGGGAAGAAATACTGGGTGGAAGGGGCAATGGCCCGTGGAATCTATGAATGCGGAGGAAGGTTGGGATTGAAGCAGCTGAAAGTGGCAATCCCTTGTAGAAAGGGTGCGACCTAAGAGTCTTATGCATTAGACTACATCGTACATGAAGCGTAGTATCCATTTCGTGTCTCCGAATCTTAGCTGGTCGTCGCAGCGTTTAGTTGACCCATCCACCAGGTTCCAAGAGTTGTTTCGAGCTATCGGATGAGAGCCATGCATTAGGGCCCGCGCCTGTCCCAGATTTTCACGGCGCTTTGAAATGGCTACGAATATTGAACCGAAGCAAGCAGGTGGTCCGTATCAAGCAGCTGTCAAAAATCTCCATGATGCTCATCCAGAAGTCGTTTTGACCAACGTTTGCTCGAATTTGGAATCCATGATCAAACACGCAAACTTTCTTTACGGGACATTACTGTTGGACTTTGACCTCTGATCTTCTTGGCAAAAATCAAAAGCCTGGTCTGATGATAGCTTGGAACCTGATGGCTACGGGAAGGATCGGAAGGGTACTGAAAGGTACCAGGTACCAGGCATATGCTGTGTACCACTTACCACTGGCTGTTGCCTTGTTGTTCTTCTTGCATCATTGTGGTCCAACTTTTGCTGGCAGCCCAATTGCAGCTTCCTGCTCCACGCCACCGATTCGCAAGCTGCAAACCAAATAGGTATACAAAAGGTTGAAGTGTAGGCTTTGATTAATTTGAAAATTAGTTGTGGTAGATACGCTTTCGGGTTGAAGAATGCACCGATGATTGATTGCTCTGGGATACCCCGCAGTTTGTCCTAGATCCGGGTTTCTATTATTTCTTTTTAGTCCGTGTGGTCATTTTCACCCTTTTCTGCATTAGTCTCTCATGATGAAATTGACTTAGGGCAAATTAAAAGTG